TAAATTTAAACCAGTCTACATGAAAACTAATGTAAAATACACACAGAAAGAAAATTCAACAAGTGAACAATATCAGCAGGGAGCAAAAAGTAGGTTCATAGTCAGGATTCCTGAGAACACAAAAAGAAATGTAGAAAGGCATCAGAAGCAAGAAAAATGAAGGGAAGCGACTGTAAAGTGTAAGTGAAGGGAAGTGACTGTAAAGTTCACAGAAGTGTGCTTTACTAAGCCCTGTACTTTTGAAATGTGAGTTATTTTCGGTAGTGATGTACAGTAACTTCATGTTTGGGACATAATAGTCTTACTCTACACACCCAACAGAGATGGCAGTTAGTATTACTTCATTTTTTTCCAAAGCATGCTAAAACATGGTGTGGTATAGGGCAGAAAAAGAGACACTCATGTTTATTGTATTGAGTTGGGGACAATTTGAAGGCACATGGAAGGAGTCACACATCTGTATTAAAGAAGATACTGTGAAACTCTTTTCTCTCACATTTTCTCTGCCATGTACAGCTCTGCAAAGAAAAGGAGAATTTGCGTGATGAGATTTATTGCCAAGTCATCAAGCAAGTTACCCAAAACCCTGAACAGTAAGTCCAGCTGTAGTGCGTGATCCGAAAATTAAAGCAGGGAGGCAGGAGGTGGCTTGGGATGAAGGAGAAGCAAACATGAAAGGGGGTGTTGTGTGGTTTCCGGGCTGTATGGCCATGTATGTTTTGTAAGGAGGCTTCTGCTCAAAATGAAGTATTACTGTAATTATTCTAAGGTAAGATCCCAAGAATTGTAGTGGCTAACAAGCAGGGCTGTAGACAGAAAAAAAAAATTAGGGGTGGTGGTGGTTTGAAACCTTTTTTAGCAAATTTAGCAAATCATGAAGAGTAGTTCAATAACACAACAACAACATTTTTAATACAGCCCAAAGACCCTTATTGCTCCGTAAAAGGTATAAGATACAAGGTATGCAAGGTTAGTAAGGCCAAAAATAGCCAAAAAATAGTTGTTTTTTAACACTGCCATATATCCCAGTTCAAAGCAGAAAATGTGGGATTTTATTCACTGTGTGGAAGGGCCCTCGGATAACTGAGTTTAAAGCAGATATTGTGATTTTTTTTCCCTTGATATTCTGGGATATAGGGCTGTGTGGAAGGGCCCCCAGCTGCTGTGTTCTGCTTGCCAATTTCCATCTCTCTTGCCTGCCTTCACTCCTATGATCTCTAGTTGCTTCTTATGAGCCTTGAATTGAATTCCTTCCCTCTGAAGGTCAAGAGCTCTACAGACATGATGGACTCCAAGACAGCAGCTGTTTAGGACTCTTTGCTATTCTTTAGCAAGAAATCTGTTTGTTGATAACAGAACAGGTACATTAGAGTTCCTTAGTCATAAATACTATTTATGAATATCATCTTCAGGTAGAGTCACTCTTTCCCCCTTTTTCCTCCCTAATGTTTTCTCTCCCCCCACCCCATGCTCTTTCTTCCCCTTTATCTATTTCAGACAAGAAGAAGTTGTATTTTTATAATTGCATGTTTCTTTCTTCCCCAACAGAGACAGAAGCCGACGTGGGTGGCAGCTCTTGAGCCTCTTGACTGGCTACTTCCTCCCTTCCAGTACTTTGCTACCGTATGTCACCAAATATTTTCAGCAGGCCAGCTCTGAAAGCTCCAGCCCCTTCATAGGTACAGACTTTGAGGCCCTATTTGGCTTCATTTCTTTTTCCATTCCTGGGGGCTGATTTGGTAATTGAATTCATGCTCCTGACACTCCTCTTGTCTTCCCTTTTCCTTGCCCCAAAGTAACAGTCAACCTGCACCTTGACACCAGCTGGTTGAATGTAGCGAGTTTCATGGAGTGATGTGTTCAGTCCTGTGTTGTTTGTCTTCCCCAGAAACAGCCCGAATTTGCCAGAGCAACCTTCGAAAAATGTTTTTGAACGGAGGCCGAAGACGCTTGCCATTCCGTGGAGAGATGGAAGCTTTTTTGGTAATCGGGTAGCAAATGGGAGATTTGAAGGAGAGATAAGGGGACGAAGCCAATATTTGAATTTAGAAGGCAGGTGCAAGCAGAAGATCTGTGAAGTGTCAACCTTGAGTGAATAAATGTTATGAAGATCACACATGGAAATGGTTTGCTATGTGAGATAAGAAGTGTTTTGAGGAAACATTTTTACAGCACATTTCCCAAACCTAGTGCCCTCTGGAACTGTGCTACTACAACTCCCATCTTCCCCAGGCAACATGGCCAGTGGCCCAACCTCCATGGAAGCTCTCAAGTTTGGCAAGGCTGCTTTACTGCTTTCAGTTGCCCACTGATAGGGCATGATATGGGCCTCAGAGGTTTCAAAGGGGAATGTCAAGTGAAATGAGAATAGGACATGTTGGTTACAAGTATTTCTTTGGGTTGCTGTGCTGGAGGGGGAGAGGATTGCATATATGTGAATGCCTCAGGGTGTTTCCCATTCATATAGGATTCTGCTCACCCGGAAAACACTACCCACAGGATTTGATTTGTGCTATAAACATAGTTTATTAACTTAAGCTAGTTGGTTTAAATATTTGTGTTTCTTCAAGTTTCTTTTTGAGAAGATAATAAAAACTGCAAGAGCACAACACATTAAGATTTATTCTAACATTTCATTCATTTCAGTGATATTCATTTCAGTGATCATTCATTTCACTGAAACCAGTGGGACATCAATACTCAGTATAGCATGGCTTATGCATGTGGGTCGGGGAGAGTAAGGAAGCCTTTATTGATTTTTGTTCATTTTATTTCCTGTTGGTAGAAGGGACGAAGCTCACGCCGAATAGTGATCAAGCTAGCTGGAGGCCAGGGATATCCAACAAAACTTAAAACCTTCACGGTGAGTTTCCACTTTGGTACAATTGCCAGTATATTGTAGTCGCAGTGCTGGTGGAAGAGCACCCATCTCCTGCACATTCACCATCACAGATACCCCAACACTACTGACAAAACCGAGAGTGCATCTAGATGGTTGAAAAATAGTAGAAGGTCCGACATTTTGTTTACCCAATTTTATTTTGGAAATCATCATCATCCCAGAATGTTTTCTATCAATCCGAGTACAATGAGAGATTTTGGATACCAGCTCCCAAGTGGGTTTATTTTAACCAAGTACAACATTGGAAAGAACAGGAACAAAAGCTGAGACTTTTAATTCAATTTGGAAGTGCCCCGAGAGTGGGCTACAACATTTTGGGAGAGCCATTTGGATTCAGAGATTCAGTCCTTCACCTCCAGCCAATTAAGTGATTTGTCATTTCTGGAAGGGCTCATTCTTGGAGGAGGGCCTTATTCAAAACTAATCTTTTGCTGAACCAGTCGCCTGGTCAAGGATCCTTCAGAACCTCTGAAGATGCCAGCCACAGATGCAGGCAAAATGTTAGGAGAAAATGCTGCTGGAACATGGCCAAACAGCCCGAAAAACTCACAGCTACCCAGTGATCCCTACGTTATTCAAATTCATGATGTAATATCTTTAAACAAGACTTCCTTTCCCTCCTTTTGGCTGCAGGTTGCTGCAGAGGTCATGAAGGAAATCAGTGAGTATCTTGGGATTGCTGACCAAGAGGAGATTCAGGAATTTGCCATCTTTGCCAGCCAAGGACATGGTAAGACTACCAAAAGCAGTACTGGCACAATGGGAATTGAGCAAGAGGGCACTTTGAACCTGTTTTTCTTTGTATACCAGTAGCAAACCTTTCTTTTTGAAACCTGGGCAGGCAGCTGCCTGGCTGGATGACTTGTGAATTGTATGGAGCTATCAAGATAACTACTTGATGGAATGATTATTCTACGGATGTACTGGATCCTGTGGATAAGTAGATCCTGATAGATTAGTGGTTCTAGGATTGCCTATACTAACTGTTTGTGTTGCAGTTTTTGTGTCCCACTTTTTATCTCCTTTACATTTTTTTGTCCATGCATGCCTTTGTTCTGTTTCAAAATGATGCCAAATTTGGGTCATCCTTCCTCGCTCCCTCCCCCATACTTTTATTGGCTATTGCAAAAACAAAATAGCTAAAGCCACTCAGAGATCACTCAGCACAGAGTTCTGCAAGGTTAAAGGTGGGCAAAACAAATAAACGTGAGAAAACTGTGGGAGAAGACTGGTGAAGAAACAGATACATGCACATATTAGTATGGGCTGTTAACACTCAAAGGGAAAAATGTGCAATTTAGTCAAAGGGTTAATGATTATAGGAGGTAGCATCAAGCATGTTCTGCTGTTTGAATGGGAGAAGAAATGCAGGACAAAGAAGCTGAGCTCCTGTCTATATCTAATGAAATATAAAATTCCTCCTGGGTGCTTGCTTACATGGTGGCACAGGACACTTGATCATTTTGGTTCAGGGGATTGGATCGGCTGTCTAGTTGTCATCTGGAATACTGGATAACTCCTTGCACCATGTTGTAAAAAGTACTTATAGTACCCTAAATAATTAAGTAGATTCTGGCCTTAGTTTGGGTAAAGGATAGAAGGCCCTCAGGAAGATGATAAGGATTGCCAGAGATCTAAGACTGTATAGTGCGTCCAAGAAGGCCGGGGAGCTGTGAAAGAATTCTCAGTTTGATACCTTGCTTCATCTAGAGGAGGCCCATTGTGATGTGACTTGAGCTTGTTATTAAAGGAGAGTGCAAGGCCATGTTTTGTATTAAAAACAAACAAGATGCAAATGGTGCCAGCGGTGTCTGTATAGATGGTATAGTGGTTCCCACTAAAAAGTCACCTTGGGCCCTTCCACACAGCCCTATATCCCAGAATATCAGAAGAGAAAATCCCACAATATCTGCTTTGAACTGGGTTATCTGAGTCCACACTCAGATAATGTTGGGAATTTCTGCCTTGGTTTTCTGGGATATAGAGCTGTGTGGAAGGGCCCCTTGTGCACAATGTCCCAGTGTAGGAAAGTGTCACTTGGGCTGGGGTATAAGGCTTAAGCATGCAGGATTGTCCCTTTGTCTTCTCTGCAGGCAAGGTGGTACAACCCTTGCGCCAGAAGGAGTATCTCCATGACTATTTGCTGGAAAACAGTTCTATAGAGCTGAGTTTCTCCAGGATTACTTGGAAGATACCACTGCACTTTGAGAATGAGAATTATATCAACCTTCACTACAACCAGGTAAACTTAAGTAGATGGGCTTTTATTATTACTTTATTCAAAGACTCCCCCCATTCAAAGCATTCAACCAAAAATGGCTTTGCAAAAGCCTGAACAGTGATTCACGCATTATTTATAATTAAATTTAGGACATTTACTTTCCATTCATATTGGGCTATTTTGGGTAGAACTTGTGTCTTGATATTCTGTTGTCAAACAATATTTTCAGTACATAACTATCATATCATCATCATATCATATCATATTTAATTACTTATTAATCGCCCTCCATCCGAGAATGCTTTAGGCAATTTACAGCTAAATTGTAAAAGATAAAATACATACATACAGAAATTAAAAATTAACAGAGCTCAAATGCTCTAGTGAAAGGCCAGGTCTTAAGTGCGTGAGTAAAAGGTCCTAAGTCACGCATGGCTCTCATGTAGGGTGGCAAGGAATTCCATAAGGCAGGGGCAGAAATAGAAAAAGTCCTGCGTCTGGTACTTTCCAAGTGCACTTCTCTAGGACCCGGTATATAGAGTAAGTCATGTTGGGCTGGTCATTGCGACCTCCGATGATGGGAGAAGGAGAGGCGGTCTCTAAGGTACRATGGACCCTGGCTGTAAAGAATTTTAAAGGTCAGAACTAACATCTTATACAGGCTACGGTACTCAGTTGGAAGCCAATGTAAATGTTGCAGCACTGGTGTTATATGGCATTTCATGGGCGTTCTTGTGAGTAACCTGGCTGCCGCATTCTGAACAATATGGAGCTTTCGGGTCGTAGACATYGGAAGGCCAACRTACAGGGCRTTGCAATAGTCCAGSCTAGACGTGACCGTGGCATGGATGACAGTTGCCAGAGCCTCGTCAGATAGTTAGGGTGCCAATTGCCTCACTTGTCGTAGATGGAAAAAGGCCTGTTTGCCAGGGCAACACCTAAACTCTTAACAGTGGTCGATGAAAATAGGGTGGCACCATCAAAGGTGGGTAACAGATGAGTAAGACCTGCCGGGCGGCCATGCCAGAGAATCTCAGTCTTCGCCGGGTTCACCTTCAGTCTACTAGCACGTAGCCAGTTCGACAGAGCCTCCAGACATCGGGTAAAATTGTCTGGAATTGACGTTGCTCCAGAATGTTTAGAAAGAAACTGAGTTATCTAACATGTAGGGTACATACAGTATGTTGCACAGTTAACACCTACTGAAAATTTTCAGGGAAAAATGCATGTTCTCTTGTGGATTATTTCTAGGTGTTGCAGAGTTATATGACAGGGAAACTACAGTGCAACAGTGAACTAGAGCAGCAAGTGGTTACCTTAGCTCTGCTTCAGCACTGGGCCAAAGGAGCTAGATCACTCCCTTCCACGTAAGTAATTTTTCCACTTTGTGGGAAACTTGAAGACCAAAATCAGATTCCTTTCCTAAAATTGACCAGATCTTTCAGGGGTGAGAGAAGTATATGCTCATGAATCCAGCCATTTTCCAGTATGCCCTGATGCCTTATTTCACACCCAAGCTGAACAGCAGCTTTTCCAATATTCCAAAAATTATATTCACTGCTATTAACTCTGATTATTCCTTATCCTGTGTCACAGGATTCCGATCCCAGTATTCTATGATCAGAGTCATAATGCAAAAGACCCAGTTTGATCAGATGCTTGCTACTTCGTGCACTTTCTTCCTTGAAAGGATAAACAATTCAGTCTGAGTGAGGGTGAAACTAAATGAAACACCACAAATGCGTTTTGAATGAAAGACTTTAAAAATCTATAAGATGGAGGGGGGGGGGTCTATTAAAGACTGGGAGTTTTGCATTCATGGCATCTTTTTTTTCTGTTCAGCCTTGGTGCTTAATATTGCTTTCTGCTTAATATTGGTGTACAAGCGCATTTATTTTTATTGTATGCTGCCTTTCTCCCAAGGCAGCTCCCAGACATAAGCAGTTAAGTAAAATGGTCATACTTTTGTTTGCCTAAGTAGAGAAGAGTTAAGAAGCTGCATTCCTGATCCTGTGGTACAACTCATCAACCTAGAAACCATTCACAACTTTGTCACCCATGATCTGGAACAGAGACAGCCACTTGAACAACATGAGGCAAAAATACAATTCATTGGTGAGTCCATCTGTGCTACAAGGTCCATAAGGCTGCCATGTGCATTTGTTGTTCTATATATTCCTGATTTAAAATTCCCCAGTAATACAAAAGATCTCCCCATTTTAAATCTGACATTCTGTCAAATATGTTTTCCTCCTCTGGAAACAAATGCACAAAACAAGAAAGCCTAACAAGTTTCTCCTTTCATATCATCACAGAGACTGAAAACTTATCTTTATTTCAGTGAGCATTTTAAGTTTGATTTGTGCTGTTCCAAATACTGCTACTTCCATCTGTTTTAGCAGTATCTTATTGCTAATATCTTTGTATTTTATATGTAAATACTTGGATTATTTTAGCAATAAGGAAAAAATTATCTGAAAGAAAAATATAGAAAGTTCTCTTGTAATAAACCATATGAACATAAGGTGGACATTTGACTATAAATCATATAGGCATTTTTATATAGAGGGACTATCAGGGTCGGCAGACCACAAAATGAAACAAATGTCTAACATCCTTCAAAATCATTATCACCCCTGTATTCCTTGTAAATGTAAGTGGATAAGGGTTATTTTTTTTGCACTTTTGCAAATAGGAGGGGGCTTATACCTGCTTTGTTACAGGCATCTGAAAAGGCAGGTTTAGTATACAGAAAAGATCCAACTAAGCCATTTAAAGTGTTCAAGTCTTGGAGTCATGACAGCATTTGGAAACACCATGGCATACAATACTTGTCTTTTAGCCACATATTATAGCAGTGGACAAAATCTCCGCATAGCAGCATGTATTCAGCATAGTTAATAACAAAGTTATTAGTCAATAGTCAGAACTGTAGTAGGTTTGCCCGTATGGTTAATGTTAATATTACTTCCCTTGTTTCTTTGCCAGAGCATATGGTCCAAATCCCACTTTTTGGTTACAACGTTTACTTTTTGGAGAGGATCAGTATCCCTGGGCTGCTGAAGCCCTGTTTTATAGGAGTGAACCAAGAACAAATCATAATAGTGGATGGAAAGCTCCAGGTATGCAGCAAGTGGAAATTCTGAGTACTATGCTTGGTATTTCTTCCTCAAATTTCATGGAATACTTATCAATAGAAAACTTAAATGGTAGGTGACATTACACTGCATACACATGCATAAGTGTAGAAATTTTAGTTAAAAGAATCAACCCAAAGAACTGGGTAGATTTATCCACAGGTTAATGTAAGTACTGTACCTTAACAAACTAATGCAGGGATAGGAAAAGTGAATTCCTCCAGATGCTGGGACTAAAATTCCTAGCATTCCTGAATGTTGATTTTACTGTTTAAGGAAGTGTGGAGTTTCAGTGGGCTGTACTTTGCCCAACACAATCTAATGCATCTGGGCTTTGGTCCCTGAAAGCTATCACAATTCTGCATCCCGCCTGCATTTTAAGGTGCCACTCATGATAGTGCTCAGTGTGATAGTCAGCAAAAAAAAAAAGCATGAAAATGCTGTGGCTGCCCAAAATAACTGTTATTTATTTTAATAGCTTTTCATTCTTTGTAAGTATTGAAATCGTTTCACAAATATTCATGAATTTTTCATTGTCATGGCAGCAACATTACAGAATATTGTTAAATTATAGGCATTGTTTTAGTTTTTGAGGAGGTTTCTTAGTGGGGGACAAAGTACAAGAAGCCCCATTCCCCACGGACAAGCCTAGCCCTGACTTGCCATTTATTTTTATTTTTAAGTCCTTTGTCCAATTAATAGAGAAGACCCTTTGATTAGTTTGGCTCTAAACTCGGAATATAATTCTTTCACAAGCCAGAAATAAGATTATTAGTGTTAAAAAGCCCATCCGTTACTGTGCATTCAGCAGTGAAAGGAAGAGATAAGTTTTGCAGTCTTCAGGATGATATGCAAGGTGCTGTCCTAATGGCAGATTATTTCTCCATGCCCAGAACCTTCACTGCCGAATTCCACTGAAGGAGATACAGAGAATGAGGACCATGCCCCCTCTGGGTGAATCTGGAACTCCTGGCCTGGAAGTGAACTATGGCTCACCAAATAACCCTAAAACTATCTGGTTTGAATTGAAACAGGTAATACTAGTTGGAGTCTAAACTTGGAAAGTTACTTTTTTAGACTTCAACTTCCACCAACCTTTTGGCAGCATAGTCACTCTGGATATAACCTCCACTTCAATTTAAATATCCAGATGTATAAGGGGTAGCTTCAGCTTTTGTATTTTCCCCAAAACACAACAGTTTGTGGATTTCTAGTGAAAGTTGTGGCCTTATACAAATGCAACATTTAGGAAAACAAGGGGAAAACCAGTTGTTTCTACAATCACAATGCAGGAATTGCATAGAATAAATAAGCCCTTCTGGTTCTTGCAGCCAACTGCAAGAACCAGAAAGGCCTACTTATTCCATGCAATTGAATTGAATTTCCAGACAAACCTTAGTAATATGATAGCCTGTTGCATGGGACTAGACTAGGCTGCTACTGGAAGACTGTGTAACCCAAGCTTTCAAATAGGAAGGCCTGTTTTGCAGCCTCAGTGTCCATAATATATATGTGTGTACGTGTGCATATGTGTGTGTGTATTATGTACTTGAGGCAAATCATAAACCAATAGAGATCAAGAAAAATCTTTGGTCACCCAGATTTTAAAACCTACAACTCAGTCCCACTCAGGATAGCTAACAGTAAGGGATCATGTGAACTGTAGTCTAAAACACTGGATGGGCCAAAGATACCCCAGCCCAGGCTGGAATGTGCTAGAACTTGGTACTAAAGCCCTGGATTGTGGTGAGCGAGTATTGCTTGTTTTATTCATTTAGAAGGAATGACACTATCTTTATAGGACAATAATAGTACAAAACGTATGGTTCTGGAAAATGACACATTTTTGTAAGGCTCCAGAAGAGCAAAGCAGTAATAGGCTATGGCTAAATATATTTTAGCAGTTCGGCCTTCTTTTCCTATGAGATAGCTGAGTGAAAATTTTTAATGCATATAATTCGTTTGTTTATAAAGGACAAAAGTATGGATTATGAGGGGGTAGATCTGGAAGAGAGGAGTCTTTGTTTCACTCAGGTTTCTATCTTAACAGGCTAAATTATTGTACCATACAATTGCCATCATTGCAGAAGAAGCTACAGACTCCGAGGCTTAGAAGACAACATTTTTCATCCACTGAATTAATGAACAAGTTGTAGTTTTACAAGTCTTTAGCCTTCTGTGACAAAGACTGCTAGTGCCTCATTAAATTACAGATCCGAGGATCTCATAGCATGAAGTTCTGAAAGTTAAAATGGGTTCAACGTGAAATTATTCTTCAATACAGACACACTCATTGTTGTCCCTGGAAGGGGTTGGTTGTTGATTTAAGGCACTCAGCCTTTCTCCCCTCTGTTCTTATTTATTTCATTCAATTTTATACTATTGGTAGTTTTGCTGTTGCTACTATCTTCTGCTCACCATCCTTTCCAATTGTCATATGTTCTGATTTACTTGCAAGAAAGGAATTAAAGAATTTTTAAGAGAAAATATATGTAAGTTGTATCTTCCATATATATAAAAGTGAAAGTATGCATGTATGTTTGTCTGGTTATACCACAGAGTAGCTCCCTGTGATGTTACTGAGAAAGAAACGTGACATGTGTATGAAGGAGGGGGGAAAAGAGCCATAAAGAGAGTGTTGCCATGGAGACACTGTGATGAGATAGGCCTCCTGGAAAAGGGAGGAAGTAGGAGGGCAGTGGTCCCAAGGAGACCTGGGCAACGCTGGATATGTACGAGAGTTGAGAGTTAAAAGTCATTCACAAGCCCTTTGATTTTTAACACACTATTAATTACTTCCTATTAATCAGAGCCCGCAGTCCTAACAGTGGGTTAAGCCGCTGAGCTGCTGAAGTTGCAGATCAAAGGTCAGCAGTTCAAAAACATGCAAATGTGAGTAGATAAATGGGAACTGCTCCAACAGGAAGGTAACGGCACCCCATGCAGTCATGCCAGCCACATGACCTTGGAGGGGTCTATGGACAACATCGGTTCTTTGGCTTAGAAATGAAAATGAGCTCCACCTCCCAGAGTTGGACATGACTAGACTTAATGTCAAGGGGAAAACTTTACTTTATTAATTACTTCAACATGGGAATAGACTGGGAATGCTCCTAGAACATAGCCCTATAGCCCAGAAAACACATAACACCCCACTGTCCTGCTTTACCTTGCCAATTAATAGTACCTCTTTCTTAAAAAATAATGAGAGCAGCCACTTTAACATTTGCTTTATTTGCAGATTGCACACAGTTTTTAAAGTAACAAAGACCAGTTCTACACATACACTGGTTCAAAGGTCTGTTTTCCAGTTCTATGTTTGTCTATGAGCTCACATAGTAAGAACATACAGTGACCTCTGTAGGGAATAGAGCTAAGGCACATGTCTACAAAATGCAGTTGTAAAGGTTGCTATTTGAGAGCATGTATATAGAAAGTCTCATCTGGCCCACAATCTCTGGACAGCTTTGCTACAATTCTGAGAGGTTGATCAGGACAGTGCAAGAGACACATTGAAGCAATATGGCTTTGAAAATGTAGAGAGTTGATAGTCAATATATTCTGACTAAATTGACTCTTCCAGTACACATCTGTGACAACTCAGAGCACAACTTAGTACATAAAAGGAAAAAAAGGTGCCCCTTTCTTTGCTAAAATAAAAGCATTCAAGTCATGTGCCCAGAACATGGAAGTTACTTTGCAGCCAGGTTAATTTTTCCTTGCTAGAAATGCTTGGCTGAGAAAGCAGCTGTCACTGTGTACTGTCAGAATAAAATCTGTACACTATGGCTCTCAGAAAAGTATGGGAATAGGGAAGCAGCAGTAATCCCTGTAACATCTACTTATTTGCAGCAATCTTACCATCAACTGCTGCCAAGGTTTACAGGCACAGACCTTCTCTTCTGTGCCAATAACTATGCATAGCAGATTTGCCCATGCCCCTATTATCCATGCTATTGGAAGGGAAGCTCTTTAGCACCACAGTGAACAATACTATACTGCAGATAATACAAAAAAATACTTTCCACGTTGTTTCAAGGTGCGCTCAAAAATATTTTATGTACACTCCTGCCAACATATGTTTTATGCATGTACAAAAACCAAGGATCACGTAAGAGGCGTTACCTCTTTGCCACACATGAAGTGTGCTTGTCAACACAAAATCTGTAAGGAATCCCTTCAGGAAATCAGGTGTCAGTTACAGCCTCCCTCTAAGTCAGTCATTCTCAACCTGTGGGTCCCCAGGTGTTTTGGCCTACAAGTCCCAGCAATCCCAGCCAGTTTACCAGCTGTTAGGATTTCTAGGAGTTGAAGTCCAAAACATCTGGGGACCCACAGGTTGAGAACTACTGCTCTAAGTATTCAGATGGCTTAGAATCATCCTGTACACCTAAATAGAGATATAAAGTAATGATACAATGTTACTGAACAATAACATGTAACATTGCAAAGGCAATTTTCCTTAAAGATATATTTGGTTCTGCAAATGTTTGTACAAATACATCAGATTAACACGTTCTTCCCCTTTTAAATGTCTTGGGCACAAATTCTGTATACTTTTGATGCACAGAAACAGAAAATATATTTATAACAAAGAATTGACTGGGTATGCACGTTTTCACATGGTCTCTGTTCACTCCTGAAGTTTCACCAGAAGACAGAACTCTTAGCTAGAAAGCTCTACAAATTATAATGGCATATTATAAACAAAAGTGAACATTAGAACAAAAAACTTTATAACCTTCTCTTAGTTATGATTTAAAGTATGATTCGGCTTGTGTGATTTTAATTGCTATTTTAATGTTGTTTTAATTGCTTTGGATTTTAATGCATTTGCTTATTTATCATTTATTAATATCTGGCATCGAATTGTTGCCTTTGTAAAGCTGCTCTGAGTCTCCTTCGGGGTGAGAATGGCTGGGTACAAGTGTGGTAAATAATAAATACATTAGTTAAAATAAACTTGCTGGGCCTGGTTAATTGCTCCATATAAAAACATGTAGTAATATCTTGATGAAAACTGGGGGGAGGGAGGGTGCATAAGGAGAAGCCAGCAAATGCACATTTGAACTCTTAAATGGGGGTGAATGGAGAGGCCCCTTGCAGCAACAAAACAGCATGCAGGATTAGAGCTGAGGGCAAACAAACCCCTCCCCACTGCTTACATACATCCTGACTGCCCTCACCCAGCGCAGCTTTCCTCCTTTAATATAAAAAATGTTAACTGCACCTTGTTATACATGGCTTCCATGCAATGTTTACTTTGGTAATTAATTTCAATGCACAATCTATTGCCAACTCATAAACAGACAGTTCTGTCAATATGCTATCTAATTCTTACAGTGTTTTGTGTGGGTCAAACTTCTTATTCTAATGCAAGAGGAAACTTTTCAGAATAAAAGAAACATATCAACATCTTAAGAAAATCAAAACTGGCAGCTGCAACCTTTTTGGATTTACTCTCAATATCAAACTAGACACCAATTTTCTCCAAAGTAAAAGTATTCTGTAAGAAATTACTTCATCACAGGAACCCTGAGTAGTATGGCTGCAGGTCTTGTTTAAGGCCGCTGCTGGAAGCATTTATACTAAAAGACTGGATGTAGGATAATTTGGGATAGCAGCTGGGTTCTACATTCCAGTCCCTTTATATTTGCTTTAAAAAGCAAAATGGATTGTAAAGTAGTCAAAATACCCAATAACCACAGGATCAAATCCTGAGAGCATTGTTTCAGTCAGTTGTGCAGCTGTAGTCACTGAAGATCTGTTCCCCAGAGATAGTCTCTGTTAACTATCATCCCCACCCCACTATTCCCCCTTTTTGCATCATTACAAAGAACAGACACAATGAATCCACCAGAGAGGAGGTCTTGGGTCCAGTAGTTACAGGAAGCAGAAAAAACAGCTGTATTCCCAGTGTCATGTTTCCAAGCTCATGATGTCCTGCCAGTCCTTCTCATTTTCACACTTACTCCGGTTTTTGAAGAATACCTTGATCAGTCTCTGTGCTTCTTCTTTCACTGCAGAGAGAAAGGGTAATAAACATTGGTGAGCAAGCACACACACGCCACTGCTGACTTTTAAGTTTTCGTCGATAACAAGGACAAACAGTACATGCAAAAGAATCGGCTTCAGGAGTTGGAGGCCCAAATATCTGGAGGGCCACAAGCTTGACACCTCTGCCCTTAGTACTCACCGATCTTACGCAGAGGATTCTTGTCTGCAGCCAACAAGTGAGAGAGATGCCGGGCAAAGCCCTTAAACAGGTCCTGTCAATTAGGAACCAAAACGGTAAAAAATAGAGATGAAAATAACCTGCAATTGTTGAGTTTTTATGCAGTATGCAATCAAATATGTTCACCAAGGAATTCTGGTATTGGGACAATGGTATCGTATCCCTACACATCATGTGAGGTACTACACAAATAAAAAGTTCTCCTCACCTAATAAATGAACTCCTTAAAATAATTTGAAAGTTCAATCTCATATGAAATGCCAGAAGCTCCTGAGAATGCAAACTTGAGCTTTACTAATATTGCACAGGAGCCAGTAAATTTCAAAATGCAAATGAACCCAAAAATGTGCTGGTCTTTGCTCCAATAGTGAACTATAATGATCTCATATAGCTACGTTCTTGTAAGCCAAATCAAAGAGGTCTTTCTGGAAAATCAGACAGTCCTCTCTAACTGCCAGAAGAGTGATTTGGGGATCCAACTACTTGTTTAAAAGGCGAATAATGAGGCATCAGAACAACTGGAATGACATTACTCCACATCAAATAAGTTCAGAACAGATCAAACAGAAATTCAGGTGAGAGTCAAAATATCTAGAAATACTTCATATCATAAATTTGTGAAAAGCCTCTGAAAATAACATCAATAGTGAGGCAGGGTTTAAAGTATTGCGTATTATATCTTATTATAAATCACGCCGCTGCCACCACTTTAAAGGATCGGGGAAAGAAGAAGAGACCTTTTACACAGTCAGGGGGGAAAATATATCACATCCCACCTGCTGACACCAGTATAAAGGATTTCTTACATGGAAGTATTATGTGTATATGATGTAATGTGTGTGCTCTGGTAGAAATGAACACCGCTTCAATCTTCTCCTGGTATATTTGCTGCTGCCACCTAACACCTTAGGATATTAACGATGATTCTCTGAGGTAAACTATTCCCTGCCAACCCAATACAGCTCTCCCTTAGCTCCCAAAAATGACTGTGATGTTAATATGTTAAAGAAACTACAATTATCCCCACAGGAATGAATTACAATTGAGGCTTCTTTAAAAGTTGAAATAGAGAAAAGATTTATTGATAAGATCAAACAAACAACTGACTTCTTTGATGAGGCACAAAAGCTTGAATGGTTACTAAAGTACAATAATCCTGATGGTTTCTTTAAACAGGTTACTTGACTTAACTACTACCAAAACTCCTCATTCTACAGTAACACAGAAGCAGTGAGTTCCCCAGACTAACCTACTCAGGCTGTCTTCAGAGCAATTAGCTCACTCTAATCAGAGTTCTCTATAGCTAATCTACTCTACCCAGAGAGCAAACCACTTGTGTAAACACCCACAAGCAATCAGGCAACTACTTGACCGGACTGGCCAATAATGCAGCCTTGCCTGCCACAAACGCTCTCTGTCAGAAAATCCTAAGCTCAAAAATACCTCTCCTCTCTTCTGTTCCCAAAACTCATCTCCCTTCTTCAATTCCCAAATTCAATCTCCCTGCTCTCTTAGAAGCTGACACTCTTCCCTCCCAGGACTTGGCTCCTCCCATCTGTCCTAACCAATCCTAGGAGATCTCCAACTCCTCCCCTCTTCTCACTTTACCCTCACAAGATGTCTGCTTCCCTGGCTTACACTCCCAAAATGGAGGCCTGCCTCACTGATATCCCAGGCTTCTCCTTCACCTACTAGGTAAGAATCATTACACAGGGACATGATGAAAGTCCCAAAAATACAGAACTGCTGCCAGATGTACATATTTCTTCAGCTGGATACAGTATGATGCACACTCAATGAATGAAGCAATGGAGAAGAAGAATATATTTCTTTGTAGTCATAGTCCTAACCTCACAAGGGACTCAAGACATTGGCTCAATACTGTTGAAACTATCTAATCTAAAGAGCAACATAGAAAGCAAAAACTAATTTTAAATTTCTATTCAAATGGGGTGAAAACACATTATGTGGCTCATAACTCACCTTGGAAGCAAATCTGCCATCTTTGTAGAAAGGGGTCAGGTATTTCACAACAATATCTGCTGTTTCTTTAAGCGATAATATCTTTGTAGGTGGTTGGATTATTTTGGTGGTTCCTTCTTTATCAACTTGTGCTAAGTTTGGATCAAAAGTGACTTTCTTTTTCACCAGTCCTCCAGCTTTTCCCTCTAATTGCAATAATATGGATGGTGTAGTTGTCGTCCTGAGCCTCTTTTCAGCAGGGCTCTCCAAATCCTTGAGAGAGGGACAGAGAGACATGAAAGAAACATCGTGTGGCTAAAAGCTAGGTCAACTTTCTAAATAAACACTGTATGCCCCCAAAACACCCAACCTATCTGTTTTCAAAAGCACTCAGGCCTGATTAATACCATAATGGAATGCTACCAGGATATACACCAGGATAGGGGTTAGGAAAGAATCAAGCCTGAAATCCTGATGAGTTGCTGTTTCCAGAGTTGACAATACTGAGCCAAGGTTTGACTCAGTGGAAGGCAACTTCCTACATTTCCATGTCATAGGGGAACATGTATGCCAGTGCAAGGTTTTGCATGATGCAGATTCCCAGTTTGTTCATGCTTTCCTAATACAAGAAGAACTTCCCTAAACCTCTAAAAGATGAAAGTACAAAGGAACCAAGCCAGAGATTTGACTCAAGAAGCCCTAGTTAAAATGTATGCGCAGAGACTCAATCATAGGTGCATAAGCATTTTGTATAACTGTGAGTGGGCATGCAGTCCTGATCAGAGGAGAGGGCCAGAGGGAAAGGCTCTTGCAGTTTTCAAAGAAGACACACTTATCTCAATATAGCCTTAATGAGGACTGATCATAGCAGATGTAATTATCTGCATATCAGCTTTTTCACCTACCTATAAGAGAAATCTCCTGAAACATATATAGGAATAGTTCTCGGTACACTGAATAAAATGGCTTGGGATTTTTTTAAAACAGTGCCCTGATTAATTTATTCCGGAGCTACACATTGATATCTGCTTAATAACCAAAAAGACAAGACAAAACACACATACACACGTGTGCGCATGCACGACCTCTTTCACAAACACAGATTTTTATAAAAAAGTAATAAATGTGAGAGTGGAATGCAAATTAATTCAGGAAGAAAGCAACCTAATAGCTTTGGGCCCAAACTATACACTAAGGAACAAAAAAAAAAAAAGGCTCTTAGGGAGATTGGCAGTGCCTGCTCTGTTTCTATTCAAAACATATCAAGTGTGTCTTGAGATAACCCATCATCTCTTCCTCATCAGGATAAAGGGAAAGGCATCCTTAAGAAACTTCACTATGATGCCAATGATTAGTAGCATCTGACTCACCTTAAGCCACAGCTATTAAAATTCCCAACTGCTGCGGCAGCTAATACAGAATTCATCAGTTATTGAAATCATGTGTCCCCTAAAGAAAACCATTGGCCCAAGATCATTTAAAACTTACCTCAGCTCAGAATTCGTCATCAGTATACTGGATTTAAATTGTCCTGGCAGAACTTATTGGTTTTTCCTAGAATTCAGTCACTCAATGTAACAGTTTTACTTTCTCATCAACATATGTTGTGTAATTTTTGTTTTTTTGTTTTTTAAATTATCTTTATTAAATTTTCCATAATACATCTTAATAAAACATCTTAATTCTATAAATAATACATCTTAATTCTATAAAAATGGAAGCAGAAAGAAGATAGCAAAACTGAGAAAGAGAAATGGGGGCAGTAGGAAAGGGGACTAAAGGCAGGGAAAGGGGGGAAGGGAAGTGGGCAGGACAGATGTGCAAAGAAAAGAAAGAATGGTTTATGTTAAAAAAAGGTTGCGAAACAAAGATAAAGAGTTTCATTTTCTTTTGGTCTGACTTCCCGGTGTCTTCAACGAGGTTTTCCTTTTCCTCTTCTGTAGGTTTCCCCTATTTGTTCTCCTTCTTCTCTAATCCATTATTTGCTTGCTGGGGTAAAATTGATTTTATCCTTACATTTCCCTTTCCCAGTCACTTCATCTTATTTAAAATAGTCATTTACCAATGTCCAATCTGTTTCTTTCTCTGTAATTCCTTCTGTAGTTACTTCTGTAGTTACTACTATATGTAGTGTGATTTTTGGAGTGATTTTTGGAGTGGGACAGGGTATAATATAAATTCCACCTTACAGGTATTAATGAGGTATCTCTCTAATGGCTTCTTTCACTACCTACCAAGAAGTGTCTACATTTTTACCACATATTAATACTTATACTGAAATCTGCTCCAGTTTTTTTTTGCCAGAGACAAAGGACAGACTTCTGGAGGATTTCCATCAGGCAGTCATAAAATAACACTGATTTGGGAAAGAAATCGTTCAACAAATATAGATGAATCTCAAAGAAGGTCCTATTACAAAAGGCAGCACAATAGAGAAAGACAGTGCTGTTGTCATCAATGTATTTGCTACTCCAAACATCTCAGTTCATTACACAAATTCCAATGGCAACATCTTAGCCTTATTTTAGCAGTTGCAACAGAAGCTTTCCTACATTCAGTAAAAGCTCTGAAAAATGAATAAGCAGCAAAAGCTCAAAACAAAAACAAAAACTGTGATTTTCTTTCTGTCCTAGAAATGTTTGCCTGTGTGAGAGAACAAAAACGACAAAGTGATTTTAATACAGTATCTCACCTCAGTTGATCCTGGTCTCTTCCCACTATGATTTTCATTACTGTTGGCTATTTCCTTTTCTGTCAAATGTCTAGCACTGCTAGGGAGATAATCAGATAGGTTTGAATGCACAATGATTCTTCAGAACAGTAATGGCAAGGCAATGGTTTGTTTTCTGTTGCCCTGGAGACTAGGACACAGAACAATGGCTTCAAACTACAGGAAAGGAGATTCCACCTGAACATTACAAAAAACTTCCTCATTGTAAGGAGAGCTGTTCAGCAGTGGAACTCTCTGCCCCGGAGTGTGGGGGAGGCTCCTTTTTTGGATGCTTTTAAACAGAGGCTGGATGGCCATCTATTGGGGGTGCTTTGAAGGCAATTTTCCTGCTTCTTGGCAAAGGGCTGGACTGGATGGCCCATGAGGTCTCTATTATTCTATGTACAATCAATTTTAAAAGGATAAATATTAAGATATACAATCAACTTAAAGGCATACATATTTAAACCAAATCAGATTTTTAAAACTCTTAATTTAATTACTGCTGTTTTGAAAGTTTACCCAGCTGTTGATTTTCTGATGGCAGCTCATACCACATTTTGGGAGCAGCTGATGAAAAAAATTATCTGGTTATCAGTTGCTAGTCTGGTCCTCACTCAAAGAAATAAATACTCCCCAAAAGGCCCGAGCATATAGTGTGGATTACATGGCTTGAGTTTACTCACCTTGATTTTTCAAGGGTTGATCCGAAACATAAGGATTCTGCTCCTGAGCTGTGACTTCTCAGACTTGGAACTTCTGTTTTCTTAGAACTGTCTTTTTCCAACTGGGATGTGTCTATTTCTTCTTTGGGAACAATTTCAGCTTCCTGTGACGATGATTTCTCCTTGCAGACTCTTTGAGAAGGCAACTGAGGTAGTTCCTTGAGATAACTGTTTGGCTCTTTTGTCAAATCAAAGGATTTGGATCCGTCTTTAGGGACTGAAAAGAATTTGGCAATGTTTTGCGACTCTTTCCTTGCTGCTTCTGCTAACAATTTCTTCTTCTTAGTGGGCTTGTCCTTTTTAGTGGGACTAATTCCTAAAGAAATAATAGCATTGGAGGGGCTGTGCTTTCCCTTCTCAGAGACTTCACCAACATTTTCGCTGATTTCTTTGGTCACTTCTGGCTTGTTCTCAAGAACATTATCAATTTTCACAGGCTCAGGATCACAGTGAGAGTTCTCCATCCAGTTTGAGCTTGCCTCTTCTTTCACAGGGTTAACACCGTCTTCTTCTTTAGCTGCTAGAACCTCTGAAGCAGACTGGAACACTCCCGACGTCATTCTGATTCCAATCCCTACCCTCTTGGGTTTAAACTACATGAGAGAGAGATGAGAAACCAGTTGACTAAAGCTTCAGTTGTTGCCGACCAGTCTTACCTCTTGGATACATGAAATCAAAATTTAAATAGAAAATCGCAAATTATGTTTGGAAAGAATTAAAGCATTAATACAGGGAAAGGCAATCTAAGAGGTAATTACAGAAATTGATCAACAATAAATAGCTCTACTTACCGTATTCACTTTGGATGCTTGAAAATATTCATCCTCCGTTGTTACAGTAGGTTCAGTCTTCACCTTGGGAGTGCCATTGACTCTTGTGACAAGAATGGAAAAAAGTTCTCCATCTTTGGAAGCTTTGTTGATTTCTGATACCTTTGTGCAGAAAAGATTTTAAAAAGTCCTGAGGTTTTACCATCACTTACAGAACATTTAACTCAAAAACAGACACTCTGTGCAAGGAAATGTTCACAAATCATTTTTGTCCAAATTAAGCACTGAAAAATCTCCTCTGGTCATGTCCAGTGAGTAAGACACTAGAAGAAGAGCCACCAAAGCCAATCTGCAGTAGAAAGTGGCAGTCCTTCAGGTAAGCAGAGCCTGAGAAACTTCCATCAATCTGTGTATTTTGATATTTTACCGACTATATGTGTTTTTATGGTTGGAAACAGGGCTGAGTCCCTCTTATGAGATGAGAAGCTCGGTATATAAAACTTTGAAATAAATAAATAAATAAATAAAGTGGCAGACCTTCAGGTAAGCAGAGCCTGAAAGACTTCCATCAATCTGTACTGAAGAGAGGCTTTGGCCAAAAGAGAGATATTCAGGTAAACTAACTGTAATGTAAAACACAACGAACAAATCACACACACACACACACACACACACACACACACATATATATATAAAAACCGGGGCAATGAGGAGACTAAAGTGGTGGTGCGTGTAGCTGAGGCTTGACTTTTAAAATGTTTTTACTTGAGGCATTTTTTTTAAAAGGAGTAACTTATGACCCCAACCAGAATCCTTTCTTCCAATATTTTCAGCTGCATTCTTCTGAGGTAAATCTTCTTCTCAATAAATGGACATGAGTCTTAATTATAATGAACTGATCAAGGAAATATTTATTTAAGGATTCACAGGTGTACAACGTTTGATGGTTATTCTCTATTCCTTTATATGTTGTTACATATCCTTTATATGTTGTTACAGTTGACTTTAGTTAAACAGTTTCCAATATAACTCTCAGTACGGCTTTTACTTCCACCAGAAGAAACTCACTATTTAAAATGCCTGCTCCTGCCAAGTGGCAGTTAGCTCCGCCCCTTTGGCTTCTCTAACTTGGATACATTCTAACAGTCGGTTTCATCGCTATGGCAACGCCTCAGCTCAGGCGACACATAAGCTAGCCTGCACTTATCATATCCCAACATCAATAAACATATTTAAAACACACATTATAATTAGCTATTTCATTACATTACGCTCCTACCCCTAAATTATTGCTGAAGATGAGAATAAACCTCATTGAAATCAATATATACCTATATCACATATATAAACATGCATATATTTTAACATTTCATATTTACTGGTTTAATATATATATATATATCAATCATACATAATGTTACAATTCAAAGATAAACACACATTATAAACAATGCATTCTTACCCCACCATACCTCCCTTGGATGTTCACCTCTCTCACCTATCCTTCAGTTGTCTCCTCCCGGCATTCTGCTACTATGTTATCTTTATCTTTTATACAGATGACATCAATTTTTTCTCCTCCTATACTTACAACTCCTTAGATCTGTTCTACCAGGTATATTCCTTTTAAAGCAACCTGGTATTGCATTAATAAACTCACTAATTGGCCCTTCTATTTTTTAATATATACAGCAAGATACATCTGGGATTATACTTTGTTCATTCAAATTCCCTTATTCCAACAATAAATACACTTGATAATCCTTCACCATCTTACTGGAAAGACTGAATCAGTTTTCATATAGTAAGGTTTCAGTCTATTAACATAGACCTCTTCACCTCTTCTATTTCTACCCTTCTTGGTCACAATATAATTCACATCAGACAACTTTTTTACAACCACATAGGGTCCTTCCCAAACCATTCCCATCTTGTCGGATCTCGGCTTCAACAGCAAAACCTTGTCCCTCTCTTTGAGGACTCTGTATCTGACTTTAGCATTTCAACTTTCCTCCAGCTTCTGCTGTGGTGGTTTAAGTCTCTTGGAAACAGTATCCTGAGCAGTGTCCGTATATCTTCTTGGTCTTTCAATATAATCTGCAACGTCTCTTTCGTTGATCTCTTCTCTACCCTCCGAAATAGTCTCTAGTATGTCCATTAGTTCTTTCACTTTCTTCTCAAATAAAAGTTTAAAAGGACTGTATTCAACAGCTTTTCATTTCATCTTGCTTTGGCCTTCTTTATCACCGACAGGCTTTGTAGAGATGCTTTCCTCTCTGTATCTCCTATTGCAGGTTTTGGGTTTTGTCATTTTCTCTACTGCTGTTTCTCTATTTTTTGTCTCTATCAGTCCCCAAAAGTCTCTTAAAGGAGTATCATCTCCTTGCTCTCTGGCAAAGGCAACTACATTTGAGTCAGTAAGTTGCAGTGTTATAGAATTACTATTTTCTTCTACTGCACATCCAGGCATCTCTATATCTGGGCTACTGCTGTTCCTCCCCGGCTCCTGACTCTCAGTAACAGCATTCACCTTTTCACTTTCTTCTGCCAAATCATTGCCAATTATTACTGGATCTCCCAGAAATTCAACTACTCCCATTTGCCACATTCCTTTATATTCTTTATACTGTACTGGAATCTCAGCTATGGGCATCTCAAACGCAGGCCCATATATTCCTTTCAGTAAGTATCTCCCGTTGGGAACTATCTGATCTGATGCCACCATTTTTCTTTGTATCAGTGTTACTTCTGCTCCAGTATCTCTTAAACCTACAACTCTGTTACTATTCACAGTTATCTGTTCTCTATAATCTTAGTCTCTTTTATCTTCCATACTCTAAATATTCTAACTGGCTCCTCTTGCTCCTTTACTTCATCACCATTCCTTTCCACTGCCTCTCTTGAATCTCCCACCTTTTGTGTGACCATGACATTTTTCAGAGGGAAATTCATCCTCTTCTCAGGGCTCAACTTGGGGCATTTAGATTTAATATGCCCAGGCTCTTGGCAATGGAAACAAGTGATTATTTCAGAGTTGAACCCCGGCATCTCTTTTCTATAGTAATTACTATTTGTCCGATAAGCCGGTGCTGCTATGTCTCTCCTGTTACTGTTGCTATTCCTTACATAAATTAAAGATGGCGCCTCCCCTCTTGCAGCATTCTTGTTCCCAAAGTTTCCAGCTAATGCTTTTTATATGACACATCCATGTTCCTCATCTCATAGTCTGCTTCCAGTTCATCCAGGACTGAAGCTACCTGAGCCACATTATCCATCTTTTTGCCTTTAACATACCAACACATTTACACTGGCACCAATTCATAAAATTGCTGCAAACAAACAAGATGTTTCAAGTCCTCAAATGTGCTTACTTTACTGCCCTCCAACCACCTATCAAAGGCCTTATCCAGACAACAACCCATCTGGGAGTAGGTTTCATTTGGCTTTCTTCTTACTTCCCTAAAGTCTTTTCGGCTTTGTTCAGCAGTTAGGCCGAATCTTAGTTTTACTCTTTCTTTAAATAGATCATAATTGGAACTCTCCTCGTTCCTTAAATCAGCATATATCTTGCTTAACTCACCACAAATAAGTGACCTCAAATGTGCCATTTTCCTTGTTTCTGGCACCTCAAAATCCTGACGTGTTCTTCCAAAATTGGCCAGAAATGCCTCAACATTATCTTCCTTTTGATATCAGGGAAATTGTTTCAGATCTGAAGCTGTAAGTTCAGTTGAGAAGGAAGGACTGTGTCTTGTTGCTCTCTGATTCCCTCATCCTCAGTTCTAACATATGTTCCTCATGCCTCATTCTTTCTAGTGCAATCTCTCTATCCTTCTCTCTTTGTTCTCTTTCCATGTCAATTTTTCTCATTTCAAGCTGTAACTTTAACCTTTCCAATTCCAGAGAGGTAGTCACTTGCTCCTGACTCTCTTCTGGTTATTCAATAGTACCCTCTGCCTTCACCAAAGACTGATCAAAAGAAACTCACTATTTAAAATGCTTGCTCCTGCCAAGTGGCAGTTAGCTCCGCCCCTTTAGCTTCTCTAACTTGGATACATTCTAGCAGTCTGTTCCATCGCTATGGCAATGCCTCAGCTCAGGCAACACGTAAGCTGGCCTGCACTTATCATATCCCAACATCAATAAACACATTTAAAACATGCATTATAATTAGCTATTTCGCTACTTCGTGGCTTGCTTGAGTCCCCAGCTTGATTTTAGGCCTGGAGGCCCTTCTCTTTGGCTTTATTTTTTCTTTTTGGCTTGGCAAAAGAAACCCTTTGGCAAGATTTGCTTGCTAGTTCTTCTTTTACCACTTTAAGTGGGCATTTTTTACTACTGTGCCATCGCGCCTGGGGCTATAGAGAAAGAGGCATGGACGTGACATCTTTCCCCAGGGGATTGCTTCTTGCCCTCCTTTAGGGAAACTGGAACTCCCAAGGACCAGAACACAACAAGTAACTCGAAATGGTGTTTATTGTTGGCAATGAGTTCACTTTCTTAGGCACAAACGTGATGTTTCAACAGGGAAAAATACTTCATAAACTCTAAAGTCCAGAGTCCTAGGAGTTATAAGCTGAGAAGCTTTTCCTGTTCCCTCTCTCTCTATGGTTGTGAATGCCAGAGCAAACCACAACCCCAGTTCAGTGGCCTAAGTTGAAGGACAAGACTTTCCTATGGTGCCAAAGAACCGGAAAGAAGGCACCTGAGATCTTCACAATTCCATTCAGGGTGGTCTGAACATAAAGAATAAGACTCAGGGGTAAAAACCTAAGAGTTGGTAGTAAAAAATGCCTTGACCAGGGGCTTTGGGCCAAGCTTTGAACACGTCCATCCAATGAGTATTTTTCTGAGGTAAAAAAGGTGAGAGAGATACCTTTCCTTTCTCCCTTGGAAGGGGCGGAGCCTAAACAAAAGAACTGGGGAAACAAGCCAATTGGTGCACAACAACAATAAATTGACAGCTATAATAACCAATGAAATTTAACTATACATATACAAGGTAGACAGGAATAAAATGGCAGTTTAAATCCTGCAACTAACAGTTCTAAATATATGTGGCGCCACACGCGCCGTCACACTAACCATAAAATAATGTACATATTTGGTTGGTGGCTTTCTCAATAACATCTGAAAGTTAAGTGGCCCAACAACTGACTCTGAAAGGTAAAAGTGCAATTAATCCTGCATCAGGTGACTCTATAATTACTTACACCTAGATAGACCACTGAAACCCCACTTCCCCACTGCTGCTGTTGGACACAGAATATTTGGAGTGGGGGGGGGGGGATGAGAGAGATCCATGACTCCAGCCAAGTCTCTGTAATCAATGCTAAGTTGCTACATTCATCCATAATCAATCCCGAATAGCAGATGTTTTACCATATTAGAAAATCTCCATCAAAAGAAACACAGATGTTACCAGAGTTGGCTGGAAGCGTGTTTAAGTCTTGTAAAAAGTCCATCTCAGTCTTAATTTATTCATCTGGAAGGTTCTGACAATGATTAGCGTGGTTCGGAATCACCATGTTACAGCCTTTAAGCCTTTGAAGAAGTCATAATTCCTTCCATTATCTCAGCTATAACATTTTAGGGAATGTGACTTAAATTCATGAATTAGTGCCACTGGTATGCTCACTTAAACATATGAGCAATACCAATGGATAATTCTTAATGACTTCAGAAAAGAAAAATAAACACATTTCATGTGACACTTTATTTTAAAACTACTTGAAGTGTCCTAGATGTATGCATCTGATCCTTACTTGAATCCTAAACTGTAGAAATTAAGGATGTGTATAAACGGATATTCTAAGAAAAATGGCAATGCTTCTCCTTCAGACACACACAGAAAATGTTTTCTACTAACTTTTTCATGGGGTCCGATGTTTTAAATGGTCAATAAAGCAGGAGAAAAAACAAGTCCATTTTGTATCCTTGGATCATCAACTGTAACATACCTTCTTTAGAACAGTTGCTTTGTACAGGTTGGCCATTTTGCTTGACTGGAAAGCCTCATACTCCATTTCCACAGCCCATGATAGGGGAACCGAGGTAGAACTAAGAAGAGAGGGAGGGAATTTGTTTGCTATCTTCGAAAAAATATGCTTAAAAATGCAAGTGACTCTTCGTGTGAGTCTTCCTGTGGCTGTGATACAAATCCACACACACACACACACACACACACACACACACACACACACCATGTACATGGATCATGGACAACTTATGTGGACTTCAAAGAAACTGCAAACCAACTAAGAAATATGGCATTATAAATAAAATATGGCATTAGAAATAAAAGACTAGAAAATGTGAAACTGAGAGGAGTTAAATCTATTATCCAGTCCTAACGGAAAAATGCAAATAGTTTGAAAAACTCACTGGATGTACTTTTCCAATTGTGAGAAAAAACTATGCCTTTAAAAGCTGAAATCAAGACTCATGTAGAAGCATGGCAAAATTAGCATTTATTCATTGCAACTGTGGCTAAGATTTTTCCTTTGGAAAGTTTTTAGTCTATTGCCCAGTACTTCTACAGCACTGGTAATTGAAATACCAAAGCCTCTTCTCTGGTAACCACATACAATATTTATGCAGTACACTGCTACTCTCTAGTGGGGAGGAAAGAGAACTGCAACCTTTGGGGGGGGCGGAGAGAAAGGATTTAGCTGTAGGGTTGTCCACTTTTAAAAACTAAACATTTTTGTTGCTGTTTTATCACCACATGCAAAAATGACTCCACAAACATATGTTTAGGCTTTGATGGAAGCCAATATTGCTGCTCCAAAAGGACAAAGATTTTGGGTCTTAACTTAACTTGAAGCATGATATTTGGTTTTTAACTTGAAGTGCACAGTTTGTGAGTCTTTATTTCTAGGCCTCATAGCATGCATTTTTTCCTCAGCCGGCAGCAATGGTACATATATTATTTATAGCCTGACATGCATAGATATTTTCCCAGGACAGCTTTAAATAGAAATATAATTATGCAATAAAAATAGTAAGAGTGGCACAACAAAAATCGCAAAATAAGAAAACACCAGACAATTTCTTTTTTCTTTTAAAATAATAAAATTTGAAATTGGGGTACTGAAGCAATGAGATGTGCTGTTGACATCAGATTTAAATACGGATACGAGGAGGGTGCCAGTGCATGTAAGACTTCTGTTATCCCCATATCCTTCCATCATCACATGTGCATATAAACAACCCAAAGGGCCATTGCAAAACATAGAACACTGGTTCTCAACCTGTGTGTCCCAGATGTTTTGGCCTACAAGTGCCAGAAATCCCAGCCAGTTTACCAGATTTAGTATTTCTGGGAGTTGAAGGTGAAAACATCTGGAACCCACAGGTTGAGAACCACTGACATAGAAGCTTGCATATATACTTTGAATGACAAACACACAAGGACCTCTATGAGAGACACAGGAAATCAGTATGAGCATCCCACATGCCCTAAGTAAGTGATCTGTTCTTGTTCTATATATGTGTCTGACACATATCAATAGTAGGGACAAGGAGAAGAAACCCGTGAAACCCATGGGTTATAGCTCCCTACCCATCTCTTGATCCTGCTGCTTGTTGGTTGTTGCTCAGTGCTTCTTCCAGCATCTTCAGGCAGTGTTCTCTAGCCTAAAATTGAGAGAGAACACTATTATGGAAGAAACAAAGTGAAGCATTATCTTTAAACCTGTGCTTTTAGGTAAAGTACATCTAGTGTCTATTTTTTTTCATCTATTTTTTTCTTTTTTTAAAAAAGATAACCTATTCCAATAACCCTCAATCTAAATGTTTATTTTAATATACAAGCAGTCCTGAAGTTGCAAACAAGATAGGTTTTGTAGGTTTGTTCTTAAGATGAATTTGTATGTAAGTTGGAACAGCTCCATTTTTTAAGTGTAACTCCAGCCAAATACATATATATTTAGCTTTGGATAGCACAGGAAAGGGTTAACACCTCTGTTGTGTTTGTTTTGCTATCTGTACAAAACATCTGTTCAGAATGTGCATCTGTGCAAAGCTGTGCAAAGCTATCTGTTCAGAACATTTCACCTCACTTTCTGTCCCTGTGGGATTTGGAAAAATTTGGCTTATTGTGGAAGCAAGGATTGGTGAAAAAGTTTCAGTTGAGAGATGTTTTCTCCATGATAATTCTTTCAGGAGTGAATTTCCCTTCCAAGTGGGTGAATTCTTTCACTTCCTGTTGTCTCCCCCCCACCCCCAGATCTTAACTGTGAATTGTTTGTAATTTAGGATTGCCTGTATCGTGAATCAAATCTAGTTAGTCTCCCATCAAAAGATGCAGTTCTTGGACTAATATGAACAAGTAACATTTAGGAGGAATTGTAACAGCACAATTCGAAGTGCTGGTTATGACCTTTAAAGCCCTAGACAACTATTGGGCCGACCACATCCCCTTGTATGAACTTGCCCATGCCCTGGCATCTTCAGGAGAGGCCCTTCTCTTGATCCCACCTCCATCTCAAGCCCAGGAATGAGAGAGCAGGCCTTCCTTCTTGGTGGCTACCCTTTAACTCTGGAACTCCTTCCCAAGGAAGCTAGAATGGTCCCCTCTCTGCTTTCCTTCTGGCAGCAGGCTAAAACCTTTTCATTCAGGTAGGCTTTTAAAGGTGGTGTTTAAGATCAATTCAGAGGGTGCTATGGTTTTTAACTATGAATTTGTTTTAATGGTTTTTAACTGTGAATTTTTAAATACTGTTTATATTTAACCCTGCTTAAATGTTTGTATATTCATATATTTAAATGGCTTTGCTGATGTGTTTTTATGTTAAGCCGTTTTGAGTCCCCTTCAGGGAGATAAAGCAGGACACAAATAAATAAATAAAGACAATCAGCTCTTGTACAACTTTCTGATGCCACAATTCAGAGCAGGAGATGTGTGGCTAATAAAATGGATTACTTAGAGATAAATTCACCTCATCTCAGAGATAGTATTTAAATACAGAGTGAACAATGCCATACATGGGATAAAATTCTGGGCTTGATAATTTCATCTTTTCTTTGGCCTTAAATTAAGGAAACACTTTAGTTTAGGAAACTCTTCGGGTTTAGGAAGAGGAAAAGTATTCATGTTAATCACAATGTTGCTATTAAGATGAATATTTGATTTTACATCAGTAACATCTAGGAAATGCTGATGAAATGCACTGATTATTCTTGTTGAACTAGGACACCTACTTCAGCAGTACACAAATAAGCAGGACAGAATGCTGCTCTAAATATTATTCTCTTACCTAAAATGTATTTTACAACAGCAATTATTTGTCCTTCTCTCACGGCTACAAGCACATATGTTCCTCTCACTGGGTTGCTGTGAGTTTTCCAGTCTGTATGGCCATGTTCCAGTAGCATTCTCTCCTGAACCTCAAGACCTTATCAGGTGGCAACAAACTAAATTGATTTCACAGAATCTTACCTTCACTGTGATTCTAGCAATTTTCCGGCTGGCTGCATCCTTCAATGGACAATCGGCATCTGCCACAACAGACAGACACAATATTTCTCTTACATTACTTAACTATTGTTGTTCTCTTGGAAATAACAAGAAAAACAGCAATTAGCTTTCTATACATTATATTTTAAAAGGCAGGGAGTGCATTTTTTTAATACACATGCTGCTTTGTTCCAATTATGAAATGATATAGCTTTTGTGTGTAGAGGGCGGATATATCGATATATCTTATAGATATATTTTTAGCAACATGATGAAGTCTTTACTATTTTCTCAAATTCATAGTTCATCAAAATGTGAAATTCCTTTATTTTCTAACTATTTGTAATTCAGCTTTATGCTAGGTTAGCAATTCATTTCTCATGTTCCAACAGCATGTAGGCTACCCAGGAGGCCAAGCAGAAGGAAGGAATGGTTCAAGGGTGATAAATTCTGCTTCCCCACAAGCCAGAAACCTGTTCCTGAGAGCTGTGTCACATCAGTCATGGAAACAGCATTTAAAGTTTGTGATAAAATATACTGAAGAGCTGTAGATAAGCTGTTCAGTGAGGTGTCCCGTAACTGGTATGCATTACGATTATCAATAGATGTGTAAAGTAAAATCACTGGGATTGCGATAGCTTTCTGACATGGATCTTGTCCTGAAAAAACATTCACTTCGTGCTTTGGAGTTGTCCGCTGAGGCAGGCCCGTAGCCAGGATTTTGTTTCGGGGGGGGGGGGGGGGCTGAGTCTGAGTGAAAGAGGGTCTACCCTAGCAAACCTTTTGTATCGTTACTCCAATACCCTCATGCATATGGGATATATTGAGCATGGTGATCAGATCATGATATGAATAAACATAACAGTTTAAATAATGTACCAGTAAGGCCTTTCTCGCGGACCACCATGAGAATTTCGGGGGGGGGGGGCTGAAGCCCCCCAAGCCCCCCCCCCCCCCCCCCCCGGCTACTTGCCTGAGCTGAGGTTAAAAACAGTTCACTTAAAGATTAATCTCATGCTATGGACTACATTAACTCTGGACTCCAAACATGGATGTCTAAGCTCTTTAGTTTACAAGAAGTACTTGTTGTTGTAAACAGTGCCAAGTATTTTGTAACAGTTTGCTCAAGAACATAAAAAGGGTTTCCTTTTCTAAAGGGATCCTAAAAACTTTATCTGAATCATTCTGATCTATAGAATAGTATAAAAATTTACCTGGAAGAACAAAGTTATCCTTTTCGGGTTCTTTTCCCTGAAAGACATAAAATTGGGGGGGGGGGGGGGGGGAGAGAGAGATCAGACATCTGAATTAGGAACATCATCATCAATTGTCACATTCTACATTTTTTTCAGATTCTGGTACACTTGCATAAATATAATTAGATATCCAAGTCTAAACGCAAAATTATGTTTCATGTACACCTTCCTTATACACATAGCCAGATTAAAACTGAATACAATATTTTAAATAGATTTGTGCATGTGGACAACTTCAGATTTTGGAGTATTTCAGAAATCTGCATAAGCAATTCTCAACTTGTATAATTAAAACATATAAAATGAACATTAACATGAGGTTAAACTGTTGAAAATATAAAAACAATTTAAAATTAAACTTTAAAAGCTAAAATACAACTAAAAGATGAAAAGTAGTCAAATCATATATTAACAGGATAAGAAAGAATACGAAGGATAAAATATGTTGGGCCTGATTTGGATACTCAAGACTTGTATCTAGAGGACTCCTTAAGCTTCCTATGTTTATTTAGTAAGTCTTTTTTGATTCTGTTAAATAGGGTTAGAGTACGAGTAAAATCTTTAAAAGCTCATTCAAAATATTTGCAATTACTTTGATCCTCCTAGATCTCCTTTTCTCTAGAAAAATCAGAAACATGGAAAAACTATCTACACAAATAGACGTTGGAAAGTGATGGGACAGAAAAAAATTCAAGACACATAGAAAGCATGATGAACTGGAAACAAATTTTTAGTCACCAGTTCAGAATATGCGTAGAACTAAAACTGGGACTAGAATATGCATGACACACAAAACTTGCTGCCACATCTTCAAGCACCCAAGTGTAAATTTTGTAGCACTGTTGAAAGTGAGAACCAGTTCTGCCATCTTCTCATTAACAGAAACAAGTTCCAGGCTAAAGTTCAGACAGCATACATTGTGAACTCTTGAGGGATTGGAAAGTTTCTTCATGTTAGGAAGTGTATCGAGTACAGATCTGATAGCTAACATTGGTTTTACTTAGGAGGATGATAACTCTGAACCCTTCCCTTTCCCCTTCTGTATTCCTTGGAGCTGCAGGAAATTCAGCTCTGGGGATTTTCTAGGCCTCAGGGGCAGGTTTTTGGGATGTGTAGGAGGCTTCAATGGAAGGGTGATTGCTTGTTTCTGTTCTTCTGCCAACAAAAGTCAAGCATTGGATACTGATTTCCCTTAAGTGGAAATACGTCCCATTGATCTCAATAAGGCTTATTTCTAAACAGACTATATAAAATTACCTTACGCAATTGCATCTGTTTCCTGTAAAAATTATTCCATTCCTTTTTCTGATTTTCTTCATGAGCTTCAGACACACTCCCTCCATCTTCATCATATCTATGTAATAAAAGTAAACCAGAAAAAATGGGAATACATTGCTTTTAAAGGAAAGTAATGCAAAATTACAACAAATCTTGAATTCTAGGAATCAGATCACAATTTCTCAGATAACTGTGAAGCCAGATTCATTCCTTACAAGGCATGACCCAATTCAGAGTTAGCCATTTCCTCAGAAGTAATGGCAACTTTTGTATTTCTCTCACCAATTCCAAATGCCTGTGCACATATTGTTGACCTGCTCATACAACCCCAGTATCTGCAAGACCAGTATCTGAATTTATCCACATCCAAAAAATATGATCTCTGTAGGCATTTTCTAAGTCATCGAGCACAATTTTATGGCATTCTTGGGCTGGAATGTGTTCATTTATAGGATTTGCTGTCATCTGTGGTTTTGCATAGTTACACAAAATCCAAATCCAGAAATGCATCCCATGGATACTGAACTGTTCTAGGCACAAAAAAACAATGAATCCAGAAGATATCAGAGATACCTTGAAGGGCTAAGATGGATGGCAACTATGGAAAAATCCAGCTCTGCACACATATATTGCCCAAATTTTTGCTGAATCCCACTCATAACCAACGGGTGGCATTGGCATCTGGACTGTCATGGTTGAAGAAAAATCCAAGGCTCCAAAAATGTCAAAGGACCGCCACTGAATACACAATAAAATATTTGGGCTATTTAGGAAAAAGATGCTCAGATGGAATACTTGCAAGGCAACGATGTAGACGAAGAGGCACTGGTGACTTCTTCCAAAAGAAGAAATCTACATGTCTGTCACATGCTCCATAATTAAATTGCCATACATTATGAACTATATGTTTCTATCTTTAAACAATATACATAGAATTTCAGAAACACTTTCAGGGAAGGAGCAGGAAGAATCTCAAGCCATTTCTTTTTCGTTTTATCTAGTTTCACCAGATTTATCTCTTTCTTTTCCTTTCTGCTTAATTTAGTCTACAGTCGATACATTCATAGGTACAAGTTTGCCTATTATAGCAGAACTCAAAATAGCAAAAGCTCTGTTGAATGTTAGGCTAGCCATGAGATTTGGCAAGTATACAAAATATGGCTTTTCCTGTTTAACCACCTCAGTCCCAAATGGAACTCAGACTGACGCTATCTGATAGGCTATCAAAGCAGTGTTGTTCTGCTAGCTTTTTGACTTTTAAAAACTTTTAAACATATTTTGAAGAAAGTTGCTTTGTTCATCTTTAATTTAATAATATTCTTTCTGATATGACAATAATATCATTTACAAGGACTCAGTAACAATAAACCAATGGATTCATTACAATCAAAACCAGGAGCCTGATTTTTGACATTGGTCATGTATTATTCACTAACCCTTTGGTTGCTAAGGTACCAGATTATCACCAAGAAATAAACACCATCAGAAACATGTTTGCTAAATAAGGAGTCTCTACCTACTTATAATGAATGGTTTCCTTAAAAAAAATTTTTTACATAAGGAGTAAATGTACAGATGTGGGTTGAGTAAAGTGAAACATTATAAAGTGTATCTAAATCACTGATACAATATAAGACTTAAAATGCATAAAGTATAATTGGCTCTTTTTTTTTTTTTGTATTAAACATGATATATTTTTTTTATATTACAGGCATTCCCCCGGTTACAGACAAAATAGGTTCTGTAGATGTGTTCTTAAGTTGAATCTTAAGTTGGAAGTATAACTCCAGGCTATCTATCTAAGTTTTGTATAGTATAGGGAAGGTTTAACACCCCTGTGACAATTGTTTTGCTGTTTGTGCCCCAGTTCAAAAGATTCCACCTCACTTTCTGTCCCTGTCATAATTGAATTTTGAAAAAATTGGTCTGTTGTGGAAACAAGGATTAGCGATAAAGCTGCAGTGGAGATACCTCTTTCCCATAAAAGCTCTTCCAGGAGTGGATTTCCCTTCCTAGGGGCAGATTTCTCTCAATTCCTGTTGCCTTGCCCCACCCCCTTTGTAACTATGAGTCATATGTAAGTTGGATGTATACAACTCAAGGACTGCCTATATTGTATTTGTTGCCACTTGTATTATGCCATTTGTAACATGGACTTTGAGAACAGTAGCACTGGGAAGAAATCAAACTGGTGGAGTTGTTGAGCCCAAGCATTTACTCAGGCAGGTGGGAGAGAATCAGATGGGAGTGGGAAAGGTGTTCACATTGGCTTACTTGCACGGGTGGGAGGGTGGAAAAGATTGGATGTCCCCTTTTTCTTGTTATTCCCATCCTATCCTGTGAGTAAGTATATGAGGGAATGTGAATGGGCCCAGTCACTTAGCCAGTACATCTGTATTTTAAATATGGTTTGGGGCACCTAGCAATATTATTCTTCCCATTTTATGGTTGCCTGTGTCCCTAACCTTTGTGAAAATGAAAGGTCAATTGTACAGCATATTCTTTTATACTGGAAATTAAAGAACCACTGCAATATATTCTAACATTTGATTTAAATTGGAAAGAAATATAATATGCATAATTTCATTAAGCTGAGCCTTTTCAGGTCTTATCATTCTATTAGGAATTTGCATTATGGAATTAGTTATTGAACTGGTTCGTTCATCAAGTGATAGTTACTTTCCAAAATGGGGAATTTTAGCTTTCTTGTGCTTAAGTCTAAGGTAGCAGTTCTGAGTAAACGATTGAAACTACCACAGGGGAGCAGAGAGGGACAGAGAGGAAATCTGTATTTTTGACTAAAGAACTTGCTCCGTCTTCTCTAAGTTGTGTCAAAGTTGTGTACCTGTAGCCTCTTTTTCCTCCTTCATAAAGGTCTGGATCATAGGAATTCCAAGAGGAAGCAGAAGGTCCAGTGCAAGTTCTGCTCCAGCCACTCGTGCTCTGCTGTAGTGCCTCAACCTTCTTTTTAACCACTGCTGGATTTCTACAATAATCACAACACTTGTTGCACTCTGGGATGGCATCTCCAAAGAAGTTGGCTATGGCAGCATGGCGACAACTAAAAAACAAGCAGAGAGTTTCCTGAAGGAAAGAGTGAAGCAACGAGGCAAATATAGGGAGATGAAAGAAAGAGAACTACAGATACCTATATGACAAGAAGAAATTATAATTATCGGCACCATTTAATTTCCCAAATTTCTAGGTTTCTGAAACTCACTGACATCTAATTTTAGAATAATTTTAGTACACAATCTGGTTAACCACAAACAGTTTGCCAACAGTTGGTCTTTCCAGCTTTCATGCAGAAATTGTAATAACAGTTGTGACTCTCAAAAAAACCACAGGCATGAAAAGTTATAAAGAAGACTTGTTTCAAGGTTGGTTCACACTGTCCTTTCTCCCACTCCATACAAGCACTTGAACAAGTGGAAAAATACCGTGGTATCTGCCATGTGAGGGTAAACATCTACATGGCAAGAAAATAACTCAAAATGCTTAAATGTACAAAATAAAAATTGAAAATATGAACAAAATCTTGTGCTGATTGAGTTACTTTCAGAAATGAATGGACCACTGACAACTTACAGTTTCATCTACTGGCATTTTCCCTTTGATTCTTGCCTTTTAAGACAAAGTCTTAATTATTTTTTTTAAAGAGCTGCTTCTAAACTCTTCTGCTTAAAATAGAATTTACAGACCTATATACACTTTACCTCATTCACACAACAAACAATTTATGATCAAACTCATTAAAGTGTTATCTAACACCACTACCCCACCCCCAAATAAAAAGGATCAATAGTTCTACAGTTTGCTAAGGACATCAGGCTAAAATAATACAAAAGTGCTAGGTCTTGGTCACCCTACGACAGGACTAGCAGCAGCATGGACTCCCCTTATCTCTGGCTATATCTGTACACACCTTATCAGTTTTATATATATTTATAGCAGAAATGAACATGTGGCAAATGTTCTGGAATCCCAGCTACCAGGGACATTGGCCTGTGCTTAACCAGCCCCAGGAAATGAATTTTGTCACCCCAGCTAGACAATAACCTTTTGTCTAGCTGGGGTGGGAGAAGGCATGTACATTTCTATATTCTAGCCTGGGAAAGCATTTCCAAACAGCCAAGAGAAAAACCAAGAAAACGTATTGCCGAAGGCTTTCATGGCCAGAATCACTGGGGTTTTTTGTTTTGTTTTTTTAGTTTTCTGGGCTGTATGTTCATGTTCTGACGTTTCACCTGCATCTATGGCAGGCATCCTCAAAGGTTGTGAGGTTTGTTGGAAACTAGGAAAATTGGGTTTATATATCTGTTGAATGTCCAGGGTGGGAGAAAGAACTCTTGTCTGTTTGAGGTAGGTGTGAATGTTGCAACTGGCCACCTTGATTAGCATATAATGACTTAGCAGTTTCAAGGTCTGGCTTCTTACTGGATGGGGAAATCATTTGTTGGGAGGTGATTAGCTGGCCATGATTGTTTCTTGCCTGGAATGCCAATTTTTTAATGTTGTTCTTTATTTACTGTTCTGATTTTAGAGTTTTTTTTAAAAATACTAGTAGCCAGATTTTTTCATTTTCATGGTTTCTTCCTTTCCATTGAAATTGTCCACATGCTTGTGGATCTCAGAGAAGCCACTGAAATCCACAGTCTCCACCTGGCTGAGAGTAAGTTTCCAGCCGCATCATCGAAGACCTGCTCACGGGCCTCCATACCGAGAGGCTGCAGAACCAACTACCTTCAGGGCATTACTCCTGAAACAGCTGCCTTATTGGAAAACTATTACAGGCTCCACAACGAAGACCCATTTAGTGAGCAGACCCTTCAGGCAGTGCAGAGCATTGTGTCCTCCATCTCTGAAGCCAAGAAAGAACAGTGGATCAAGCTGATCACAGAAATCAACATGGGTAGGTAGCAGCCAGAAGGCGTGGAGGTTGCTAAGACGGTTGAGCAATGACCCCTCACAAACTAATACCCATGCCAACATAAAGGCAGATCAGATAGCACACCAACTCTTGAAGAACGGGAAACCCAACCTTGCCACCAAAGTAGGAAAGAAACCAATAGCCAGACAACGAGATTGAGAACAACAACCTTCATGAACCCTTTACATCTACTGAATTGGACATGGCTCTCAATAAATGTAAGAATGGCAAAGCAGCTGGCCTGGATGATCTACAGATGGAACAAATCAAGAACTTTGGTCCAAAAGCAAGGCACTGGCTGCTGGAGCTGATGAACAACTGCACTGCATCCTGTCAGATCCCCAAAATCTGGAGGAAAGCAAGAGTCATCGCCATCTTGAAGCCAGGCAAAGACCGTAATGACCCAAAAAGCTACAGACCATCTCCCTGTTGTGCCACCTCTACAAAGTTCTGGAGAGACTTATTTTGCATAGAATTATGGAAAAAATAGACCCCTGTCTGATTCCACAGCAAGCTGGCTTCAGGAAAGGCAAAAGCTGCACCTCGCAAGTGCTGAACCTGACTCAGCACATAGAAGATGGCTTTGAAAGGCAGCAGATCACAGGAGCTGTCTTCATAGACTTGTCAGCAGCCTATGATACTGTGAACCACCGCCTCCTCCTGAGAAAAATGTATAATATCACAAAGGACAACCACCTCACCCGCCTCATAGGAAACCTGCTACAAAACAGGAGCTTTTTGTTGAGTTCCAGGGTCAGAGAAGCAGATGGTGGAAACAGAAGAACGGCCTGCCTCAGGGGAGCGTGCTTGCTCCATCCATGTTCAACATCTACACAAATGACCAGCCACTGCCAGAAGGGACAGAGAGTTTCATCTATGCTGATGATCGTGCCATCACTCAAGCAGGGAGCTTTGAGATGGTTGAACAGAAGCTCTCCGAAGCTCTAGGTGCTCTTACTGCCTATTACAGGGAAAACCAGCTGATCCCTAATCCATCTAAAACACAGACATGTGCCTTTCACCTTAAGAACAGACAAGCATCCCGAGCTCTGAGGATTACCTGGGAAGGAATACCACTGGAGCATTGCAGCGCACCCAATACCTGGGAGTCACTCTGGACCGTGCTCTGACCTACAAGAAGCACTGCCTGAACATCAAGCAAAAATTGGGGTGCTAGAAACAATATCATACGAAAGCTGACTGGCACAACCTGGGGATCACAACCAGATACAGTGAAGACATCTGCCCTTGCGCTTTGCTACTCTGCTGCTGAGTACGCATGCCCAGTGTGGAACACATCTCACCATGCTAAAACAGTGGATGTGGCTCTTAATGAGACATGCTGCATTATCACAGGGTGTCTGCGCCCCACACCACTGGAGAAATTACACTGCTTAGCCAGTATTGCACCACCTGACATCCGCCGGGAAGTAGCAGCCAATAGTGAAAGGACCAAGGCAGAGACATCTCCAGCTCATCCCCTGTTTGGGTATCAGCCAGCACGTCAATGACTTAAATCTAGAAATAGTTTTTTTAAGATCTACAGAGACACTCGCTGGAACACCGCAGCAAGCGAGAGTCCAAAAGTGGCAGGCTCAAACCCAGAACCTCAACCAATGGCTGATACCAAATGAGAGACTCCCCCCTGGGCACACAGAAGACTGGGCAACTTGGAAGGCGCTGAACAGACTGCGCTCTGGCACCACAAGATGCAGAGCCAACCTCAAGTGGAATCCACGGCATGCGAGTGTGGAGAGGAGCAAACCACTGACCACCTGCTGCAATGCAACCTGAACCCTGCCACATGCACAATGGAGGACCTTCTTGCAGCAACACCAGAGCACTCCAAGTGGCCAGCTACTGGTCAAAGGACATTTAATCAACTACCAAACTCACAAATTTTGTATTTTGTCTGTTTGTTTGCTTTGTTCTGTTAGAAATGTAATATAATTGACTGGTTGCCCTGACACGACAAATAAAAATAAATCGAAGACTCAGGCAATCCCAGGTCAGGGAGGCAGGATTCAAATTGTAACAATGGGACAGACTCTATTTAGCTCCTTACAGGAGCACAGGTTTCTCAGACTTGTTCTTTGGGCAGGAGACCACAAGTCTCCATTTCTGATCAGGATGAACAATAAAACACCTCTGTCCTTGTCTTCAGGTGCTTTGGTGAGTTTTAATCTGGAACTTTGGGTTTATTATTAATTATGGTTGAATATTAACTGTTAGCATTTCTTGCCAAGCAGAATTCTCAAAGTATTGTGGTCTAGATTCAATAACAAAAGCACTGCTTAATATCTTCTTACTAGTACTGTATCCAATAGTGCCCTTTTATTTGTATTAACCTAGAAAAAGCAAGCCAATTCACTGGGAAATCCACACTGTCACAAAGCAACGTTGGTACACTTGTTGAAAGTCTTACCTTAGCCGTTTCTATAACATATATAATATACTTGGGGAAGCTTTAATATGTGTGCAAAAAGACATGTGTCTTTTCTAAATTTTAAGATTCTAGAGCTACGTAAAACTTCATGTATGTACTTTCTCTGAACAAATAATAAGTACACACAGCTGAATAGATTTAGAAACTAACCAAATATATGTTCAGTGAAACTCTGGCTTATGTAAAGTCAGAGAATAACAACACTGGATATCTAGTAGAAAGGGTAAGAATTCCAGCAGGGACTCTTGTGGCATTTTAAAGGGCTATCCATGTATGCTGTTTCCTACCACCCTACTTTACATACTTATCACAAGCAATGGAGGAAAAGATGTCAGACAGAGAAACCTCCAAGAAATGATGGCTTTGCAGCTCTAATAAGCAAAACAAGCAACCATTTGTGCCAAAATAGAAAAGGATGGCACCCCTCAGGTAAAAAAAAAAAAAAAAGCTCACTCAGTGCCAATAACATTGACAAAGCCATCTTTATAATCCTTGCAAAATGGCACTGACTCAAACCAGTCTTGGGCTTAAAGAAAGCATTCTTTTCACGAGCACTGAAATACTATCATCCTAATTTCCACACACACCCCATGCCCTTCCAAAAAATATGCTAATATCACTCAGATAGAAATGTCAAAGGTCTTTAGCAAGTAAGTCTTTTGTCTTGAAGACAAGAATGATGATATGCAATTCCAGCCTATCAGGAGCACAGCCTTTATTTTTCAGATAGCAGCAACCCATAAAATGGATACTTCTCTCTTCTTCTACAGGACCAGCAAAGAAAAAAGATCAACTCATAACTTGATGGAAAGTGGAATTGCAACAGATATCAAAGTATAAGAAATATTTTAGGTAGTGTGAGAGGAAGCTACAAACCTCTGTTATGAGACATCTTACCAGACCTGCTGGAAAGTTGCTTTTATAATCAAGAATAGGATCTGTGTTGTTTTTAATGACATTACATGTTTCAATTGTTTTAAGTCTTACATTGATGTGATTGATCTTTATGATTTTAATTTTAACTTCTGTGATCCGCCCTTTTTGATGTGTTCATTTGATATAATTCTTGATTTTGAGTGTGATTGATACCATGTATACTGGGTTGTTATAGGTTTTTTCGGGCTATATGGCCATGTTCTAGAGGCATTCTCTCCTGACATTTTGCCTCCATCTACGGCAAGCATCCTCAGAGGTAGTGAGGTTTGCTGAAACTAGGAAAATGGAATATATCTGTGGAATGACCAGGGTGGGACAAAGAACTCTTGTCTGCTGGAGCTAGATGTGAATGTTTCAACTGACCACCTTGATTAGCATTTGATGGCCTAGCAGTGCCTGGGGCAATCTTTTGTTGAGAGGTGATTAGATGGTTGTTTCCTCTCTGTTGTTTTGCTGTTGTAATTTTAGAGGTTTTTAATACTGGTAGCCAGATTTTGTTCATTTTCATGGTTTCCTCCTTTCTGTTGAAATTGTACACATGCTTGTGGATTTCAATGGCTTTTCTGTGTAGTCTGACATGGTGGTTGTGAGAGTGGTCCAGCATTTCTGTGTTCTCAAATAATATGCTGTGTCCAGGTTGGTTCATCAGGTGCTCTGCTATGGCTGATTTCTCTGGTTGAAGTAGTCTGCAGTGCCTTTCATGTTCCTTGATTCGTGTTTGGGCAATGCTGCTGCGTTTGGTGGTCCCTATGTAGACTTGTCCACAGCTGCATGGTATACAGTAGACTCCTGCAGAAGTGAGAGGATCCCTATAGATAGTTTGTATGTTGCCTTTCCTCATCAGCTTCCCTATGCGGTCAGTGGTTCCCTTGATGTATGAAAGAACACTTTTTCTCTGGGTGGATCTTTGTCTTTACTCTATCTACAGACCCACCAAGAAAATCCAACAAAGGCTACATTCAGCAAAGGACCTACAACAACCCAGTGATTCCGGCCATGAAAGCCTTTGACAATACCATGTATACTGTTTTTCATGTTGTGAGCCGCCCTACATCCCCTTGGGGAGAGGGGGCGGGATATTATTATTATTATTATTATTATTATTATTATTATTATTATTATTATTACTATTATTAAATTTGCTAATTTAATTTGCTTATTTGGATTATGTGCTGCTTACTTGGTTAGAAGCGATCATTGCTCTGATTTGGAACAACTAGAACCGCATCCTGAAGGTTCTGATCTTTTGCTCACACCATAAGAACAACACTAAACTGTCTCTAAAATGTGATGTTCCCACAGGAGAAGGAAGAGTAAGAGAGAATACAATGACAGATATTCTGCTTTTGAAGAAAAATAGGAAAGAAGTGGACCCATCAACCTCTCAAGATTCCCTGGATGAGACCTGAGAGGCACCTTTGACTTCACCTCGTTGGGGAGCATTATTTTATCTTTGGATACAGTTTTGAATATTTGTCAGCATAATTGGCATAGAAATTCCCTTTAAGTGATAACAGATTTTTAAAATCGAATAATGTTATTTTCAAGGTTCAGAATAGGGATGAATTATCAAACAAAATTATTTTAGTTATATTCACTGTTACCAGATTAGTATGTTCCTAAAGACATAAAACTTTCCTTTTGAGAAAGGAAACAATACAGTTTAAAAAATTTTTTAAAAAAAAACAGCCTTGTCCAGAAAGGCCCATTTTAAATAACATGGACATGAATATGGAAGTCACTGAAAAAGCTAAGGTTTCTCTGATCTCGACAAAAAAGACATTACTGAGAAAGGCATCTGTACTCAAATGTTTCCACAAGCCCTGGAAGAATTTCAAATGTTCTCAGTTCTCTTAACATTCATTAACTTCGTCACAAATAGTGGATTCTTTCTCCAAACTTAATAAAGGATTTAGCAGCAACAAGGGAAGAAAAATCCAACCACATTGATAAATGGATGGAGAAATGGAAGGAACTTCTGTAACTTCTCAGACTTTATGAAAAATGTGTTAGTAAAGTGTGAAGTAACTGTGTTGCAATCCAAGAGTTACACAAGGAGCAACAAGTGTTGATTTCTGTGGCAAGCTCTGTGTTGGGGAGTCTGTACTGACAGCAAGGCTACCTCCTCCTTCGTGCACATGTAATATGAGACTTCACATCTCTAGGACTACTAACAACAAAAAAAGAGAGGGAGGAAGGGAAAGAGAGCGAGGGAGGGAGGGGAAAAAAGAGCAAGCAAGCATAGGAAGAGACAGCAATTGGCTGTCAGTAGCAGGGACAACAGGAGCACAGCAAGAAAAGAGATAGGCGACAGAGAGGGTCAGAAATGGGGAGAGAAGCCGACATGAAATGACTATGAAATGAAAACACCAAAGACAGCAAAACCACCAGTCCTCCAACACTTAATGGGTAAGGATGGCTTCTATCCATATTTGTCCTAATATTAGGGAAGCTGGTGCTCTTCAGTTTATCTTTGGGTCACTATTTCATTGAAAGTGTTACATGGGATGGCAGGGAAAAGTGTGTGAGTAGAACATCTTATATATAGGGGAGTGTGGCGTGGGGAGACAAAATTATTTGGGAGGTTAAGTCAAATGAACAGACTTCAGTTTCAGGATGTTTACTTGTCTCTGACACTGCCCTCCCCAACCTCGAATTAGGCACTGAAAGATTTCCAAATCAGCAACACAGAAAGTAAAATTCCAGGAGCAGCAATAACAATTTATATGACTCTCCTAAATGATTCAGGTTAAAGGAATTTTGTATCATCTTTTAATTTACAGCATGTCCATGGGAGAATTTCTTTCCAGGACCTTGTTACAGGGCATGATATTTTCTGCCTGTCTGCTAGATTTTGAAGGAATGTTATAGCAGTTGCCAAATTACATGGTGGTTGCTAACTTGTGTAGCATTATTTTACCCTAATAGCAATAATCTTTGCTTTCAGCAAAAGAGGCCAACTGCTTTCGTACACAAACCAGAGTCTGTCTCAGTTTTCTGGACTTTGTGCCAAACACATGAAATTCAACTTTTATATACACATACTCAGTTCTCCGGCAAACTAAGAATGTAACAACTGTAGAAATGTAGCCCAAGTTTCAATACAGTCCTTTATCAAAGAATAAGTATCTCAATATCCCATGTCAGCATACCCCAACTATCTGGCAACACTGGCCAGTGTAGTTTACCTCCATACATGTGCCCTGTTTATAACACATGACACAAGGAAAGAAACACTTGCCCTGGAAACAGGTTTTTTACTATTTCATCAGCAACAATGGCCTATTTAATTGATACATAAACCAAATCTGGTGCTCTCACTATAAGGCATACCATCAATCTATAAGCAATGTTCTTCTGCAACGAATATGGGTCAAAACAGGTGGGTTCCTACACAACAAGATGAACTGTTACACACACAAACACATATTAAAAGAGTAATCTAGACTTTGAGGAACTTTTCAGTCACCCTGGAGATTCTGTAACACAGATTAATGTTGCTCCAACAACAACAAAATTTTTCAAAGAAAGACTTTGCCAAGAAGCTACAGAGGTAACATTTGGCAAGAAATTCCACTTGGACATGTTCAAACCAATCCTGGCTATCACTTAATATAGATAACTGTTGTTCCTCCTTGGATGTTTGTATGTGTACCATGCTAGGCCTGTTTACAATTAGCATTCTGTATTTTGAAATTGTTACACAACATTGAATGGCTTGATCTCATTTGTAATTGTAAAATAAAATAATAATGAATCTTTCTTTCTGTATTCAGGCTGACACACACTATTTGGGCTTTGATCTATAAAAGTTTAGGACATAGTCTAATATTGCCTGACCTCCTTTTAATCCAGTGGCATCTCACTTGGTGACTACGGTTCTACAGGGTTCTGTCCTGAGCCCAGTGCTATTCAATATATAATTAAGTTGGTTAACAGATAAGGGGACGTGGTTATTAAATCTGAGATGACACTAAATAGAGAGGGATAGTAAACACACTAGAGAACAAGATCCAAATCCAAAATTATCTTAGCAGATTAGAAAGCAGGGCCAAAACTAACAAAGTGAATTTCAACAGGGAGAAACTTAGGCAATAAAAATGAAATCCACAGACATAGGATATAAGGAATGAGTCCCACAGCTCATGATTGACATCTGAGATACATCACTATCTGAAGATTTCAAGAGACATATAGTGGATTCTTAAAGGTAAAAATAATTAAAGCTAGTCAACAACCAGCACATTATACTTTACTAACTTTGGAGAAAATTGCATTACTTATGTTTCCAAATCACTTTTAGAAACAGCCTCAGAGACCATAAAAGCAGATACAACCTTGATGATATATTTCTGGTCCTGATATACCTGAAACTGCATATCCAATACATCAGATAACATAGCTAGGCATCCACAGTGAAAACTGAGTGTAGAAATACTTCAGGTTAGTTATGTTTATTTAGTGATTTAGCCTCAGTTTTTTTCCACTTTGAAGGCTTATAAAAGTTAATTAACAGAATTGTTTAAAACTTGACGAACAGTAAGCAATCTCATAGAACAGGTTAAAAGACTGAGAATCTACCATGGCTAATGAAGTTTCAGACTTGATACCAAGAAGCCTCCATGGACAACTCAACCCACAACCACAAAAGAAAAGAGAATAGAAACTCTGACAAGTCATCTATTCACTTGCAATGATGGAGAGGACAAAAGAAGGACCTCCACAAAGGATGTAAATATTTAGGTGCCTATAGAAGAAAGCCATGGAGAAGCAGATTCCTTTCAGGTCCTATTAATCTAATTTCTGGAAAAATAAAATATCACATCCAGCAATTAATCCCACACTGCCTCTATCTTTTTCAGATATATGTTTGATTACTTTGTCCATCTGCCTTGAAATGAAATGCTTTGTATCGAGTTGAAATTAAAACACAAACTCAGTCTCATCAACATACAAATAACACACTCCTCCAAAACTCTACAGCAGCCATGTGCAGATGTCAAAGACAATAGGTACTCACAAAGCATGATAGCTATATAGTGTAAATGGCCCAAGTTAATTTTTTTTACTTCCCAATGAATAGTATAATTTGCTTTTCAATATGTTCTGAATACATTTCAAATGTATTCATTTATTATTTGTTAGTGATAGGCTGAGAATGACAAGTCCAAGATAACACAGTAAGTCTTCTGGTTTGCGGGAGGCTTAGGGCTGGTTCTCCTATTTTCCAGTCCAATATTCATAATAGTCCAGGTATGTGGCAGGATCTTTACTGCCACATAGCTTTCAATTCACGGAACAGACCATTTACTTAAACATCCCAAAGACAATTCCCTCAACATTTGCTGCTACTTGTCAAGGTATTCTTCTACTATGACACTTTTTTAATGATTTGTTACCAAAGGCAATTGCCCCAAGTTATGGCTACTACAGATATAGGACACTTTGAGGCTGGCATCCAGGTATTCATTTCTGTAAGGTATATTGTTTAGAGTTGCCTACAAGGGTAAAATAAAAAAAACCCAAAGAACCCACATTCTCCAACTGATTTATTTTTACCACTCCCTACTTCACATGACTGCATTGGTGGAAACTTTCAGGTTCTCTTTGAATTGGAGTGACTTTCAAATGACACAGATAATATATGTTCAGAAAAGCCTGTTCTTCAAAGGTATTAGACCATTCCTACAGAAGGGCACAGGAATTAATTAGGTCGCCACTCCTTCTAAAAGAAGTCTAAATCCTAAGATTTCTGTTATAAAACAACTACATGGTATTGTTTGCTTATAGGGATCTGTTGCTCCTGTTAGCTGAATACTAAATAAGAAAAAGGCTAAATAAAAAGCAACACAGAAAAATATAACAGAAATACAGCCCAAAAGTTTCTGGCAAAAATAGCCTGAAGAGTTTGGCAGAATCTTATGCAGCAGCTACAGAGAAACACAATTTAAAACATATGTCTGGGAATAGGACAGAGTCCTGGCTTGTGTTAACCAGCTGTCATATAGTAAAGAGGCTTCTTAGTCTCCATAAAGCACAACTGCCAAAGAGCATTTGCTACAGGCAAAACAGTAGAGCAAGCTAGTATACTGTCCATTCATATCAGAAGCACACTGACTATGGAGAAACTAAGGGGACATCTACAGGGTATAATTAATGCAGTTTAAGACCACTTAAACTGCCATGACTCAATACTATGGAATTATGGGAGCTGTAGGTTGGTGAAGCACCAATACTCTTTGGTAGAGAAGGCTAAAGGCCTTGTAAAATTACAATTTCCATCACACCATAGAATTGAGCCTTGGCAACTAAAGCCAATCATTAATTCTATAGTGCTGATGCAGCCTCAAACACAGCAGTGACTTTCTTCTGCTTCTCACGATTGGACTGTCCTTTTCCATGAATTCTATCAGCTATCTCTTGAATTTGTCCAGCTGATGTCCTTCTGAAGGACACTTCTGAAGAATAGGATGAACTAAAAAGACACTCTGGAAAACAAGAAAAGCTACAGTAAAGCTTTTCATGGAACATAAGCTAGACTTGTGAGTTCCTCCTTCCAATTAGTTACTGTGGTAAGCAGTGTTCAAGGCCTAGCCTTGAATCTCCAGTTTTCATGAGTCTTCTTCAAATGGGAGATGTGGGTGCTAATTCTCCAGCTTTGGTGGTCTCAACTGCAAGGAAAACGAAAGGGTTTTGTTCAAATCTCCAGCCCAGCTACTAGGGGAGGAGTTTGCAAAACTTCACTGATTTATAGCTGCAGCTTGCAAAGGCTGTATGGGAAGTATAATATTTAGTTAGTTGGCTTCTTCATTTTATCCTATGTTCCTTATCCTATATCTGTAAGTCACCATGATCTGGGAACAGTTCAGTTAGCGATGTTTTAATTTCAGAACAGGGATATATGGGGGGAGGAGGCAAGAGAGAAAGAGAAATGAGAATGACAAACTGTGGGCAACTGTGGTACATGCTTAATCCATAACATTCAGTGTCATCATCAGTCTCCCTAAGTCTCAGGTTTTGGTTAGGAAATCCTTGAATGGGTAATTCTACTAGTTTTTTTTTTTCTGGAAACAATGAAATCATGCATTTATTAATACATAAAGACATTCTGCATAAATAAGCTCTCTTCATTTCTCCAAATAGTTCTGGAGAACTTCTGTACAATGCCCAAACTGTTGCACTAGAAAGTTGTAATCAAGTCACATCCCTTCAATAGGCCTTATTATTATTTAATAATAATCCAGCTGGTCAGCCAATTCTGAACTCAGCACCAACAAAATGCATATGTAAAAGCTGAACAGTGTCCTTCCTGTCCATGTATCCATTGTTTTTTACTTAGGATTCAAAGGTTAAAAGATAAATCTATGTCACCCTACAGTAACATTTCCATGTTTTGTTCATATACTATG